AATTAGTCAAATTATTGTATGATGATGGTTTGTTTTGTAGACTATCCAAAAAAGAATTAGCTTAAAGGGGCTAATAATTGTGTCCCAAAAATGTTTTTAAAAAAATTAATAACTACTTTTATTCTAGCCGAAATAAAACAAATAAGACTTTCTCCAGAATAAAAAATATTATCAGACATACTGTAAAAATGTCATTGCTCTGTTAAACATCATTTGGGAAATATTTAAAAAAGAAAATCAAAATCAAAAGGGGGCTAATAATTCTGACTTCAACTGTATATATATATATATATATATATATTTTTTTTTTTTCTTCTGGAGAAAGTTTTATTTGTTTTATTTTGGTTTTATTTATTTTGTTTTTAACTTTTTAAAAACCATTTTACGGTCAAAATTATTAGCCCCTTTAAGCTATATTTTTTTTTTTGATAGTCAGAACAGAACAAACCATCATTACACAATAACTTGCCTAATTACCCTACGCTGCCTAGTTAACCTAATTAACCTAGTTAAGCCTTTAAATGTCACTTTAAGCTGTACAGAAGTGTCTTGAAAAATATCTAGTCAAATATTATTTACTGTCAAGATGGCAAAGATAAAATAAACCAATTATTCGAAATGAGTTATTAAATGTCTTATGTTTAGAAATGTGTTGGAAAAAAAAAATCTTATCTCTGTTCAACAGAAAATGGGGGGGGGAAATAAACAAAGGGCCTAATAATTTAGTGGGGTTAATAAATCTGACTTCAACTGTACATGTACCGCATTGGGCCTGCTAGAACATTTCTGCAGTGGTTTAAATGCGTCAAAGCTGTAAAAGTTGACATAAAAAAAAAAAAAAAACAATAGACTACTTAAAAATTATACATACATATAACTTTTACGTAGTCTCTTGTTTTGTATTAATTTTATTATTATGTAGTAAAATGTTTTTTTTTTAATTTCTTGATAAAGATTCTAGTATAAATTAAAACCATAAATGTGATGATTTATATGAGATTAGCATACCTTAGCTTTTTTGTAAGTGGTTTTTAGTTTTAGAATAGAATATGGAATATTCTCAATAATATTTGTAAAGAAAACATAGGCCCTGTATGTGCCATTTACAAATATTTCAATTAAAATCTGTGTGTGCGTGTGTGTGTGTGTGTGTTTGTGTGTGTGTGTAAAACAATTTGCACAAAAACGTTCTGGGGATATTCTCTTTAAAGTTATTACTCCACTACCTTTAGAACATCATTAAGGAGGTTTTATGTTATAACAAATGTGGTTCAAACGATGGATCTGCAACAGAAACTACGGTTTAGGGAAATACTCATTACTATATTGCTCTTTTCCCAAATTATGTATGCATCGCACAATGATTGTTTAACCACGAGTTATGTGTTTTTTTGGGGAAACACACCCCAGGGCAGCATCTTGCTGGGGGAGGCACGGGTTGTCGGTGTAAAAAAATAAATAAATAAAATATGTGGCCCAGTAAAAATTAACAGTGCCCCAGTAAATTTGACAAACAATTTACTGTATGCAAGTGTATTAATTTAGAGTGGTAATCCCAAAATAATTATGTTTGGGGCCATTCACATTTGACATTTTTGGACATGCAAGTTTGTTATTGTCTATGTGCAGCTGAAACAACAGTTTTGGCAAAAAAAAAAAAAACATTCCCGTGCACCTTACACACACACTCCCGGTGTGAATCCCGGTTGCAAGTCAACAAAACTAAAGTTCATAAAATATGATGTTATTAAGTCGGGTCTAAGACAACAGATAATTCTAGAAAACTGTCACAATTAATATTCATGCCAATGACTTCTTAAATGATCTAAACGTACCACTCCAGTTGTGTCTTTAAATTGTTTTCCAATTACATTTAGGATTGATAGCTTGTATATTGGGTGGTTCGCCTAAGGTGCCATTTAAACTAGAAACGCAACTGGTTAGCACTGTCACCTCACAGCAAGTAGGTCGCTGGCTCGAGTCACGACTGGGTCACTAGGCATTTCTGTGAGGAATTTGCATGTTCTCTCCGTGTTGGCATGAGTTACCTCAGGGTGCTCCAGTTTCCCCCACAGTCCAAAGACATGCTCTATAAGTGAATAGGGTGAACTAAATTGGCTGTGGTTTATGAGTGTGAATGTGTGTGTGATTGGGGTTTTTCCAGTGATGGGTTGCAGCTAGAAGGGCATCCACTGTGTAAAACATATGCTGGAATAGTTGGCGGTTCTTTCCAGTGTGGTAACCCCTGATAAATAAAGGACTAAGCCATTTCTACAAGCCCTATTACTACAACATAACATTGTTTTATTTTATTTTATTTTATTTTATTTTAGAAAAGTTTTAGTTAAGGGTTTTGGTTTTAGTTAACTATAATGGCCATGATTCAGCGGCTAAAAATATATATTTCCAGTTATATATCGACTGCTTCTGAACTAAATTAGCATGAGCAAAAATCTCCTTTTGACAATTCACCTCAGGAAATTAATGGAGTTTCATCACCCATGTCTGCTCCCGTGTAGAAAAACATCTGCATGGCGAGGCCTCTAACAGTCAATCCCTTTGGAGAAGCAGCGGAAACAAGCACACCGCAGAGTTCATCATGTAGTTCAGCAGTAACGAACGGGGTGTTGACCTTTCTTAACCGAAAACAGCTAATAAGATGCCTGTTTCACAGCAGTGCATGTGCTAAATCTGTGCACTTGAAGAAAAAAAAACTATTATGCTGTACATATGTGAGAATGTAACCTTTGATACATACCATCTGCTTGAAAAAAGAGCTGAAAACAGATGGAAATCTATAATTATTCACAGAGAAAAGCCTTTAATATTTTATAAGAATGTTTTTGAATATACAAAATAATTTGAATTAAACAGGTATATTAATATTTAGGATAAAAAAAATATATGTATTTTAATTTTAAATGGATTTAAATGCAGGATTATTAACAAGAATGGTCAGACTAGCAATGGTCAACAGGGTCAAAACAGGTACAGGTGCAGGGAAATCCTGAGTCGTGATTATAAACAGGCGGATGGTCTAAACGCAGGCAGCAGACAGGAATAAACAGTAAAACAAACTAAACAAAGCTTTCACAAATATTTAACTCAAACTAGCCCTCTAAAAATGAGCTGACTTCATTGTTGGTTTTTAGGTGAAGTGTAGAGTATCTGAGTGAAAAGTGTCTGATATATGTTCTGTTTTCTGGGCACATCGTTCATGTGAAGCTTCTTCTCTGTTGTCTGCAGCAATGAAAGACTTTAAGGTGACAGTGAGGCGATCGGAGGCTTCTGAGAGATGCAGTCTGAAGGGAGTAGTACTTTTACGGACTGATACTGATAGCCTTCTTCTCAAAGACCCGAAGACAGGAGAGGTCCTGTACTCCTGGCCCTACCGTTTCCTCCGCAGGTTCGGACGAGACAAGGTATGCCTTTGAAAATACTTTGTAGTCAATCATTTAATGTTAGTTAGACGACAAGATGTGTCAATGTGTGATTCTTAAATAACTAGTTTACCCCAAATGATTATTTAAATTAAATTTTAATCCGATTAAGGCAATACTCTGATTAAGAGTATGTAAACAATAATTTTTGTATAAGTTAATCTGATTAAGGTCATAATCGAACAAAACAGAAATTGGATTAAGACATGAAGTATGCCAATTTTAGTCGCATTATTGAAGTGCAGAACAGATATGTACACACAGCAATCAAACTATTACCGTCATGTGTGCTGTATCAAGTCAAATTAAATAGTTGGTCCCACTTTATATTAAGTGGCCTTAACTAATATGCACTTACATAGGAACTAATAGTTTGTTACAATGTACTTATTGTGTAAATACATGTATTTACTGTGTACTTATGCTTACAATACAATACACTATTGACCATCCCTTACACCTTAACCTACCCTTAAACCTACCCATGCCACCAAACCTGTCCATAACCCAACCTCTATTCCAACCCAAAATCACCACAAGTGTTCTCAAATACATTATAAACACAGTAAGTAAATTGTATTTATTTATTTTTTTGATGTAAGTACATAGAAGTTAGGGACACTTAATATAAAGTGGGACCAAATAGTTTAATCTACTAAAACAACACTCTTCCACCAGTCCTTAATTCATACTCGAATACAATACCTTATTTTGTCATGGGGGCAAAAAGGAAATGTTCCTGAATAAAAGTGAAACAGTTAAATGCAGTTAGTGCAGTTAAAGCTGAAAAATTAAAAATGAAACACCCATAATTACATGAAACTCTTGAGGATACAGGGAGAGCGTGGTAATGCAATGACGTTAATTGATCTATGTGCTAAATCATGTAAAACGAGATCATGAAAGGAACATTCAAAAAGTAACGATGTAAACACCTTAATTATATTATTGTCCTAATCAGATTAAGGCAAATAATTTGATTACTGATGTAGAGGAAATCTAAGAGCGCCCTCATCATTCAAAGACATTCAAAGTCTAGAAAAGGAGCCAAAAACATTGTCAAACCAGTCCATGTGACTTTAGTGCTTCAGGTGTAATCATACAGTTTAGCTGAAAGTGTATTTTTGAAATAAGGCAAATGTAGAAGGAGAAAAATAAATTAAATGTGGAATATAGCTGCAATTTAAGGCTTTTATTCCTGACCCTGTTTTTATATAAAGTAAATGTTAAGTAAAGTCGATTCCATCAACTCTTACAGTATGAGTTGGGAGTCAAAGTCGACTTTGACAAACTTAGAATGGAAGACTAATGCTGTGCTCAGACCAGACGTGGAAGAAGGGTCAAGCGCAAGGGATTTACATGTTAAGTCAATGCAAAGATCGACATAGACATCCTGCGGAGTGAATGATGCAATTCGTGCAATTGATCGCTCGCAAATCGCTCGAGTTGGAATATCTGAACTTCAACGAACATCCGCGCTGCGTTAACCAATCAGGAGCTTTCGCTTGTAGGGGCGTGCTTATGACATAACGCCTGTTGTTATTGTCCTGGAGGGAAATCCTCCTGCCGACACAACAGCTGATCAAACTGGGTTCGGCTCAGTCGCAAGCACTGCTGAAAGCCTCGATCATCCAAGTTAAGTTTCTGGGGGAGTTTATGAACTCACAGACCTGGGTGCACCTCTGAAAGGATCTAGTGGACTCAAAGACTGCTCCAAACAAATAACGCTGTATTTCAGCCATAATAAAGAACATAAACACAGTTATTCCCTCAATTAAATCCATGTTAGCCATTTAGCAACGAAGCTAGAGTCATCGGGCAGACAAAAGCCCTTCACATGAGACAAATCCATGTCAATTGTGAAGTGAATTTGATGCGCGATTGAAATGGATTTAACACCCAAATAAAATAAGTAAACTCAAAACGTTCACATGCAAATAGCGTGATTTAACCGTGCAGGATGCGTCTGGTGTGAACACAGCATAAGGGTGTACTCAGACTAGGAACTGTGCCGGTGCACATTTCATCCCATTTCCCGGTTCGTTTGACAAGTTTGAGTGCTCTAAATTGTGCCCGGGCAGAGTTCAGTTGGCCAGCTCTTGCCGTTTGGAAGAGGTGGTCTAGATTGTGGTTGGCTTGGGGTCAGACGTAGTATGTTTGTAGTGTGATTGCAAAGCGCACCTGAATAGGAAAAACTGAAGACACGACTTCATTTTTAAGGGACTGTTTCCAGTGGATTTATTATTCATTCTTACATTTTAATTCCCACGAATTGTTATGGTTTATTAAAGATGCGAACACCTTGCTGTACCTCAGGTGCCACCATCAGTAAACCTCATAATACGTGCAGCACAATGACTTTCATGAACATTTCTGAGCATCAAAAGTGGTGGATATGTTCAGCAAAAGATTTGACTGTGTATCACTGCATTCCAAACGACTTAAAATAATACAAAACAATATAACTACAGCAATCTCCATTGTACTTAGCGCGTCTCTTTCTAACTGAACAGTCTTATCATCGATGATGTAAGTGTGCTCGGGCTTGGAGGGTAAAAAAAAACGTGTGAGTGCAGGCCGAGTGGGAAGGAGAAGGGGGAACAATCGCACCTAGGAATGGTTCAATGTAGTACACCCTAAGTTGGAACACACTCTTTTAAAAACATAACATCTTTCTGGTGAAAATGATCTTAAGCTAATGCTACTAATTCTGCAACTAATTACATCTGTAATTTTTCATAAAACAGGCAACATTCTCCTTTGAGGCCGGGCGAAGATGCGACTCCGGGGAAGGCAGCTTTGAGTTTGACACAAAGCAAGGCAACGCCATCTTCCAATCCGTAGAAGCTGCTATCAATCTACACAGAGTCAACATACCAGCAAAGCAGATGTCAAATTCAGATCGAGATCTCATGCCCTCTCCACCTCGAATGAGAGCCCCGGTGGAGAACATAGGTATCTATAGTATGGTGAGTGACACATCGATCAGAGATGGGGCCAAACCTCCACAAAACCCTCAACTCTCCAGACTGGACGCCCCAACAGAGAAGCTTCTCACCGGAGTCAAGAGTCTAAACTTGGACACCAGGCCACCGCCGCGAAAGAGTCAAGTCAAGAACTTCCGCAGCTGTCCCTTGGCCAACACCGAGGACGAGATGTATTCCCGGGCAATGGCCCCAGATCCGGAAAGAGGAAGTCCAAAGGAGAAGAGAGAACTGAAGGATAGACGTTCCACGTGCTCCAACCCAGAGGAATCGGACTATTCGCTGCCCTTCGATACCATTGCCAAGAATGTAATGGTAGATATTTTTGCCACAACAAACTTTCCACCAAACGCAGGGGAATCCAATTGTGAAAATAACAAGAAAGGCACTGCAGAGAACACTGAACCACTTTACGACATCATAGATGAGTCTGCTATTAGAAGCCGTTTCGCAAATAAACAAACGCATTCATACAAAAGAGTTGAGCACATCTATGATGAACCGGAGGGTTGTGGTGTTGCCCCAAATGCACCTCCATCACTCTATGATGAACCAGAGGAGGTTAAAGGTCATGCTTGGAAGATGCTGGGCACAGTAATGGATCCGAGTGGCCATGAGTACCCGTATAATGCTTCTGTTGATGACTACGCTGTTCCTAAACCTCCACGGAGGGCCTTGCTGGCAAAACAAATGGAGGGTGAGGAAGAGGACTGCTCACCATATGATAACATCATGGTAAAAGTAATGCAAAAGAATAACTAAAGACTGCTTCAGAATCTTTTATAAGAAAACCATAGTGATTTGGAATGCTGTGAGGACAATGAAGTGAAGTACAAGTGTGCAAATGAATGAGTATATTTAAACAATTAACATGCAGATAGTGCTTTACTCTTCTCCAAAAAGCTGTGATCTGCAACACCTATCATTTATGGAGAAAAGATTCATTGCAACATTGTCTATGTTGCAGATTCACTAAATACTTTTTGCCTGCTGTGTTGTAAGATAAAAAGCCTACATCTTATGCACAGCAAACTAGTTTAAACAATGTGATAAAATTAAATTAACAGTGCATTATATTAAATGTGTGAATACTTATTTGTTAAAATATCATGTGTGAAATAACCAGCCATTTATTTGAACAAACACAAACCTTTTTTTTTTTTTAAATAACACACTTTGTTTTATTTATTCAGATTTTACAGTTTTTCTCAATTGCTTTGGCTCATTTATTAAAACAGACTTAACATTCTCTAAATTGTGGGTGCAAATCTCAAAACTGTTTGATGGAATTTCAGAACTTTGCAAAATGTAGTTACTCCCCCAAAACATTTAATCCATGCTTCAAAACCTTGCTAACTTGTAACTAATTTGGCCAATGCCACCAAAACACAAAGTCTATTTGTTATTGTGTGAGACTCGCTCGTCAAAAGGATTCTTTTTTTTCTCACCATGACAGTCAACCATGAAAATTAAGGTTTAAAAAAATTTGATATTTGTTGAGAAGAGTCAAAAGTACATAGAAAAAAAATAAACAAATAAAGGAACATTTGTATTTATAGAGTAAATTTATTTGTGTACAAATGTATTACGTGCAAAGTGCAATATTGCTGGTCGAATTACTTATCCATGAAAAAAAAATATTCTTGGTAGACATTCTTTTACTCAGAAATTACACTTCTTCCAATTGCTCTTCCACAAGCATGTTACTGCAGTTCGGGATTGTGAATGTAGTGATTGTGCTGTGGGCAATCTATATACGGTTGAAGTCAGAATTATTAGTCCTCCCTTTAAATTTGTTTTTTTCTTTTGTAAATATTTCCCAAATTATGGTTTAGAGAGCAAGGACATTTTCACAGTATGTCTGATAATATTCTTTCTTCTGGAGAAAGTTTCATTTGTTTTATTTTGGCTGAAAAAAAAAAAAAAATTATTTAAAAAAAAAAATTTAAGGTCAAAGTTATTAGCCCCTTTAAGCTATTTTTTGATAGTCTACAGAACAAACCATCATTATACAATAATTTTCCTAATTACCCTAACCTGCCTAGTTAATCTAATTAATGTAGTTAAGCCTTTAAATGTCACTTTAAGCTGCATTCCAGTGTCTTAAAAAATATCTAGTTAATACTATATATTGCCATCATGGTAAAACTAAAATGAATCAGTTATTAAAAATGAGTTATTGAAACTAAGAAATGTGTTTAAAAAATTCTGATTAAATAGAAATAGGGAAAATAAATAAACAGGTGGGCTAATAATTCTGACTTCAACTGTGTACATTCTGGTACTATATTTAATAAGTAGATCGCAAATTGTATCGCAACTTGAGGTCATTTTCCAACTTAGCAGATATTGCAATGTCAGAATCAGATATTTATGGTGAAAAAATGCAGATACAAATGTGTGATAATTGAATAAACAGTTTTGAGTGTAATGGCTTACACGATAAAAAATAATTAAGAAGTTGTGAAGAATTTGACAGTTTAATTGAGAACTGACTCATCCATTTTGTCCATACTACAGAAAATTTTACTTACTGGTTGCACACATGTGCTAAAGCATTTGCAATATGCTTAAATCAATAATAAATGCCACTCTGAAGTGAACAATAAGCTAATTGTTCTGAGACCTAAATGTATTGTTTATAAAGTAAAAATTTCAATCGAGAATTGAGCCAAAGCAATTGAGGAAAAAATGTAAAAGAGTGCCTAAAAATCATCATCTAAATTCTGTAGTGGTAATGTAATGATACGCAGAGAAGACTGCACCTTATTCATGCTTTGCTATTTGCTTGTGAGATTATTGTTGTGTTGTATGAATGAGGTGAACAATTATTGATTCAATTGAATTTATTTGACCAAGCTCACTTTTGGCTTTTTAAAGAGCACCCGCAATCTGGTTTAACAATTTAAAAGAAAAAAAAGAATAAATAAATAAAAGAAATAAATGTGCAATAAATATGGTTATTTAAGCAGAAGCTTGGCTTTTATGTCAATTATCTGATATGTACTGGATGTTAGTCACAATATGTCCTGCTATTTTTTAGTTTGATTATGTGATTCTATTTAATTTCATTTCCTTTGGCTTAGTCCCTTTATTCATCAGAGGTCACTACAGCAGAATGAACCGCCAACTTTCCCAGCATATGTTTTACACAGCTGATGCCCTTACAATTGCAACCCAGTACTGGGAAACACCCATGCACTTTCCTATTCAAACATGTTTAGTTTATTCAATTCCCCTATAGTGCATGTCTTTAGACTGTGGGGGAAACTGGAGCACCCGGTGGAAATTCACACCAACACGGGGAGAACACACAAACTCCACACAGAAATGCCAATTGGACTGGGACTCGAACCTGCGACCTTCTTGTTGTGAGGTGACAGTGCTAACCACTGAGTGAACTGAAGTGAATACTATTAAGTATGGTTAGTCATAATGGAAACTTACCTAGAGTGAGAAGTGAGAACACACGTGAACTTATTTGTCAGTGTTACTTATTCAGCCAAGTACATTTTTGGTTTTTGAATGAGCATTTGCAATCCAATTTAACCAGACGTTGAATGCACTATTGAAGAAATGGCTAATGGATATTTTTGTTCATGCAAACATGTCATTATTATCTGATGTCGGCTTATTATAGATAACATTTTATAACAAAGAATGGCAAACTTGTTTGTGGAACTCCTTCAAACCAATCTTGAGCACTTGCATTCCTCACAATTTCTTCACAAGTGCATTTGCAGTGTTAACTCATTTGCATTGGTTCACTTAGTGTTCATGCTGTCTTTTTTTTTAAAAAGCCAAATCTAAAAATACATGGCTTTTACCATGAATATTTTGTTACAGAACTTTTGGAACATCAAAAACAAGTCTGTGCGCTCACAAGCTGAGAACTCACTGAGAGCTTATAAAATAGATATAAAAGGGGCCGCTATCAATCTATAAGAGTCAATATACCAACAAAGCAGATATCAAATTAAAACCCAGATCCCATGACCTCTTCACCAATGAGAGCCCCGGTGCAGAATATGTATCTATAGTATGGTGAGTGACACATCGATCAGAGATGGGCCCAAACTCCCACAAAACCCTCAACACTCCAGACTGGAAGCCCCAACAGAGAAGCTTCTTAACAGTGTCAAGAGTCTAAACTTGGACATCAGGCCTCCACCGCGTAAGAGCCAAGTCAAGAACTTCTGCAGCTGTCCCTTCAAATACATGGCTTTTAACATAAATATTTTGTAACAGAACTTACGGAACATCCAAAACAAGTCACAAGGTAGGAACTCACAGAGAGCTTATAAAATAGATATAAAAAGCAGTCAAAATCTTGCACCAGGAATTCCTTTTCAAGTTCTTCTACAAGAAGACACGTAAAAAGCCCCTCCCAGTGGTTGAAATAGCCCATGAATCCATCAGTCTTTATACATTCTCTGTTCTTGCGGGGAGCAGTCTGTACAGATGTGCATGTTTGTTATCGCAACTCATGCTATTTGGTGAAAACTGTGTGCCTGCAATAATTTTGACAGTAGGGATGACATTACAGGCCAGCACAAACGTCACATATTGTCTTTCCAGTGTTGTCCCCTAGCTTTTGCTGCAGGTTTTGCCTTCTTCCAGTGTTTGTGACTGTCTGGTTAGCACTGAAACAGCCATAAAGGAGATTGGTGTTGTGTCAGCCTTTGCTAAATCAAACTGGAAATAGCATGTTTTAAGCTTAATTAGTGCTTAAGCAACAACAATAATGAAACAGGTTTTGTTGCTGATTTGAAATATGTAATTTCAGGAGTTCACGCTTTGCTGATGATTGATAATAAATCGTGTTTGGCAGGATGTCTCCGGAGAGAGCCCCGAGCTGAGAGGATCCTCAACCCCAAGGCTCACTCCTAATGAAACGGGGAGTCTAAGCTCAGGAAAGTCTCGAGAGCTCTCCTGAATTTGTTTGTTCGCCCTTGATTATTAGGGGATGCCACGGCAGAAAGAACTGCCAACTATACCAGCATATTTTTAGGTGGTGAATGCTTAGGGATGTCCAGATCCCATCACAAGGTTTCAGACTTGATTGGAATCTGACAGCAACGCGTGCGGCATGACATCACTTTTTTGCAGAGATACTTTTGGTTAAATCCTGGCAAAGTAGAACACGAAAGCAGCTTGATGCGGAATGTACGAGTACGTCTGTGGTATGTAGGTATTATAAAGTTGATGACGATAACATTGCCATTGCCAACATTGTGAGATATGTAAACTTGGCATTGCAAGAGGCATAAAGAAAAAGGCTACGTTTAACACAACAAACCTGATAAGACACCTCAAAAACAAACGTAGAACCTCAATTTGGAATGCCTCCCACCACTTTTCCCTTTATAAGAAGATTTCTGACAAACTACTAGTCCTTTATGAGATGTACCCCATGTTTCGTTCACCACAGACATTTGAAGCTTGTCCCATGTCTCTACTAAGCCTTTATGGATTATAAAAGTATTGTTTTGTGTTTCGGTATTGGCAAATACTCAAAATCAAATTACTTTAGCTGCTTTTCCACTATCGTGCCAAACCGTTTTAAGAACACTTCGGTACGGTTACGGTTGTTTCTCCACTGAGCCTGGAACGGCGCGGCACGATTACAAACCGTTCTCGGCCCGGAATTCTCGGCACGGTTAGACAACCGTGCTGAACTGTGCTGACAGATTCTGTGTGTTGACGTCGCGACTCGGTTGCTAAGCTACCACAGCTGGCTCAGCAGAAGCGCGCTAGTCATCAGACATCCTCAATAAACTACTGTACATTTAATATAAAATAATGATCCAGGTCTAAACGATACAGTTTGAAAAGGGTTTTAAACCATAGAGCAGTATATATAGCCTATCTGGCAGAGAAGTGAATAACTCATCACATTCTTACGAAGATATTTTATTCATTAAAGTTATTATTTCATTGACTTGAATACAAACCTACTTCGCCTGCCTGAATGTGAGTTTATTGCACGCAGCGCTGTATTTCACAGCACAAAACTCGCTCGGATCCGGGAGAGACATGTCAGCGACTTGCGCTGCTGACTTTTTTTTCCTGCTGC